ACCAATCTCTGAGGCGGAAAGCAATACTATGTGTCATCAACAAACAAGATCAAATCCATTATCGAGGAGTGCGCACCTTTGGGTCCAGATAGGTCGTGTCGAGGTAGACCAAGTCAAGACGTTTACTCCGGATCTCGGGGTGCATTGCTTGTTGCGGGCAAGCCCGGAAATCACCACAGTGCAAATACCGAAATATCCGCGCGGTCCCTACGAATGCAGAGTGGAATGTAGAGTCACCGGCGTTTACTGTCTGTTTGCCTTCGAAAAAGAACAAACATGACCCGGGGCCTAAGCGGATGAGGGTGAGGAAGAGATTAAAAATGTGTATGATGCTTACAGTGGTTGGCTTCGATGAGGGTTACGGTGACGCCGCCAGTGTCTGGTAGCACTACCTTTTCGTTCATGGGCAAGGGGTGCACCCACTTCTTGTCCACGTCGAGCATGTGTATGATAAGATTAGCAGTCGTATGTGAGCAATAAATAGGGCCATGTTTCCAACTCGATGACAGATTCGTGTAGTGGTCAGAGTGAGCATGTCTACTCTCGTGTTAGATCGTACGCAATGTTCAGTAAAGGCTCACGTTAGGAGGTAAGCGGTTACACCTGGAATCTTGCCATAGCGAAAGGCGTCCACTGCGATAGGCATCCCCTGCATGACCTTGTAAAAAGGAGCAGGCCGTCGCGCACCACCACTACTCTCTCCATTCACTACCTTCTCTGTCATAGTCGAAACATCCTCGTCATCGTCCTTGATCTCTTCAATCTCTTCCTCCTTTCCTGAATTGCGCTTGCGCGGCTCGGGTGGAACGGCCTTGCCCTTGCCCTTTTGCATCTTGCCCCACCTCGATTTTTCCGCTTCTGTCGCTTCTTTCCACGCTTCGTTTTCCTTGTTCCGGGACATTAGGAATGAGAATGCGTTGAGACCCTTGGGTTTCTCTTTTATCTCCTCTTTATGAGACAAAGACGCGGGATGAGAAGGGACAGGGAAGGAGGATATGGGTTGTAGGACTTTGGGCTTGCTTGGTTCTTTAAGTGTGTCTTTCTGATGACGGTCAAGACACCGGTTTACATGAGTGGACTTGGCCTATTTCATAGTTAGATAAAATTTGAGTTCAAGGAAGGACTTACAGATTCATTATACGATCTTATATCCTTTCGGCATATCGGACATAAACCTTGAGTGCTCGAAATGGGAGAGCTGGTCGGCGAGTCGTCTTCCAGCTCGATATACTCGACTTCTGGTGGCTCGACCTCCATTTGATCGTCGTCCACAAGCTCCGCCTCTTCTTGAACAGATAAAGTGAATGCTGCTTCTTCACCCTCATCTTCGGGTTCGGAAGCGGCGGCACTAGCAGCGTGTTGTTCCACTTCGTCGTCTTCACCCGTCTCCCAGTCGTATGGACTCATCCTCTCGAGTCTCACACTGACTTCTCTCGCCTCTTCCTCCTCGAGATCGATAAATTCTAGCTCGTTCAAGGCCTTCTTTGCAATTCCTTGACCCTCTTCGACGTCTGATCTCAACTCGCTGGGTATCACCGGATCAGAAAAGAATGATTCATAGTCGAGGTTCGTCTCCTCTCTCTCCGAGATTGGATTAGGAGAGCGATTAAGCGAGTTCCGTTCCACATTAGACGCTCCTGCGTTATCGGACACCGACTCGGGTTGCTTACTCTTGATCTCCAAGAGCTCTTCTATCTCCTCGTCATCCGAATCAAGGACTTCTATCACCTCTATGTCCTTATGAATGATGTTTTTTGGTTGAAGTCCATTTTCTGATCGAGAATGTTGTCGTCCGCCACTCGCGAGACTCCTCTGCCCGGCCACCTTGGACGACTTGCCCTTAGCCGGGGTATCCAACTTTTGCTTTTTCGACCCATTGATTTTCTTGGAAGGAGATGTCTTGCTGCTGTTCTCTGAGCTGAAGAAATCCAAGAGGGACGCGTTATGGTCGCTCTCCGCCTTGCGCTTGGTCGGCATGGCCAACAGCAATAAAATGCCGCACTTGTAACCGGTTAGAGCAATAAATAATGTGCGACAGTTTGTCCAGAAAGTTTCGATGGGGTTCTTCAAAAGATTGGATGTGGCCGATTCCAAGCGCTTGCCCACCCACCAATCGTACACTTGCCACCCGTCAGCCAGCCACTCAAAGGGAACTCGGTTCATCAAGCGACAGACAACGTAAGACTTGATAGCACTTTCATTTAACTTTCAACTTCTAGCAATGGAAACAGTGATGACGTGTCAAGACCGAGAGGCAGCTACACATCAGACGACGGTACTCCAGTCAGGTGGTCCATCTAAGAATAAGCATAGTGAGAGACGATAGTCAAGATGATACAGAATTGGGATGACGGAATGCAAGCAAGGAATGAAGGGATTATGACAGGTGGAAGCTACCAGTGCCCTCGCGCATGGCAATCAAGAGCTTCTTTTCCATGAGATTCTTGGAGCTGTACGATGGCAGTTTGAGATAATGTGCACAGGTCATTACACTAGGGAGATAATCGTCGGGTGTGAGTGGTGCCTCGTGGGGCTTGCGAACGAATGTAAGCTGAGGATTGAGCGCCTTGAACCCTAGAGCGGAGGTGAGCGATAAAACAGCATCAACAATTCAAGACTTGCCTCCTATTGGAAGTTTTGGACTCCCGGTAATGAATTGGAGGAAATCTCTACGACCAGACTTGTCATAGGTAGTCATAATATCGATGAGATCACGAATTGCCTTGCTCTCGATGTTGAAACCGTGGTCGGCTTTGATC